AGCACTTAACAACAAATACATAAATAAAACAGTTGCCAATTAAAAATTTTCCACAAGTACAATTTAGTGACACAAATTACATTAGCCATGTTCTACAACCATCACCAGTATCCTTTGTCCAATTTCCCAGCACACACAGAAACCCAATGCGTCCTAAACAACTGCCCCTCTAACCTTCCCTCCTATCCCTGGTATGTTTAGAAGGAATTCAGAGGAGACTTGCTGATGGGATTGTATACTGTGTGTGAGTATGGGACCTATGTTTGGCCTTTTTATCTGATTTCTGGAAACAGGCTTAAAAAGTCCTCTTTTTGAAAGGAGCCCTGGTGTCACAGCAGCTAAGAATTCGGCTGTTAACCAAAAGATGTGGAGGAAGTATGAACCCACTACTGCTCCGTGAGATTTCAGCCTTGGAAACCCACAAAGAAGCAGTTCTACTTCTACTCTGTCCTACAGGCTGCTGGGAGTCTGAAGTGACTTGACGGCAGTGCTGTAGAAGAAGAACTGGACTGCTAATTGCAAGTCAAACGCACCAGCTGCTCTACAAGAGAAAGATGAGGCTGTCTGCATCCATATAAATTTATAGTCTCAGAAACCCTATGGAGACTTACTGAGTTAGAATCACCTAGGTGGCAGTGGGTTTGGTTTTATTATAGTGAAAAACTAATTGCCCTCGAGTCCATTCCAGAGCATCAAGACCTGTAGACCTTCCCCATAGGGTTTTTAAGGCTGCAAATAAGCAAACTGCCATATCTTTCTCCCACAGAGCACCTGATGGGTTTGGATTGCTAGCCTTATGGTTAGCTGCAAAGCACTAAATCAAAGTACAATTAATAGTCTCGTGAATTTGTTAATGAACCCACAGGGTCAATGAGGCAGCACGGATTGGCAATAAGGTGTGGATTTGGGTAGACCCAGCTCTGGGTGGCTGGCTCACAGGGATACTTCATGAAGGAGACTCAGAGTCCTAGCTTGGACCTAGCCCCAGAGGATGAAGGGCAAAGAGAGAGGGAGTCTAGCTGAAGCAGGGAATCGTGAAGACTCCTTGGGTAGAATACTCCCTTATGACCTCTGACCTGCTCCAGGATAGTCAGAGATGTGGTATGAGGTAATCCTGGGTGCTCAGGGTCTGTGTCCTGGTGTGGTGCTATAGGGTAAACACTGCACTGATAACTTCAAGGACGACAATTTAAACCTACTACCTGCTTGGTATATATCCACAAGTAATAAGAGCCGGGACTAGAGTAGATATATGCATACTGATGTTCATTGTAGCACTATTCACAATAGCAAAAAGCTGAAGACAGCCTAAATGCCCATCAGTGGAAGAATGGGTAAACAAACTTTGGTGAATACAAACATCAGAATACTATGCAATGGTGAAATCTCAGTGACCCTGTATAGGGTTTCAGAGGCTGTAAATCTTTACGGGAGCAGTACACCTCATCTTTCTCCAGCGGAGCAGCTGGTAGTTTCAAACTGCTGACCTTGTGGTTCACAGCCCAATTCGTAATCACTATGCCACCAGAGCTCCAGATATATATATATTTACATATATTTATATATCCCACAAACATATAAGAGTTTGAAAGAGGATATTTGTACATGGGTAACCACAGGGAAGGAGATGGACTACTGTTGTTGCATGGAGGAAATAGTGTACTATTTGCTGAATATAAAACTTATGATCTTGTCTGTAAACTTTCACTCAATTCACAATATATATATATTTTTTTTAAAGAAGGTGAGAATGGCTGCACAAGTCATTGGATGTAGCCAATACCACTTAAGTTCCATGTAGAAACAGTTGAATTTATATTAGTTTCGCTGGATGTATTCTCAACAACTGGAAGATAAAAATTTTAACAACAAAACCCACCAAGTAGAATCAAAAGAAATAATTAACTTGAGGAAAAATGGTGTCTAGAAACTAAGACTAAAAGGAGCAGCCTAATTCACTTCAAAAAGGGCTAAAGGCTTGAAAAGACATTTTGCAGAAAAATGCAAATGACTGTCAACATGAAAAGA